GCTTGCTGCCCCCCGGCTACTTGGAGAATGGCAGCTAAGCTCAGAGGACATCCGAGGAGACCAGCAGAGGGTTGGCCGGCCCAGAAGACGCCGCCGGCATGTGCTCCGGTGAGCCATGGCTGCAGCACATCACTGCCAATCATGTGCTGCCAGGAGTGCCTGAAGTTCCCAGGTGTGCGACAGCCGCCACACCGGCCCAGCCTGGCACGCGGCTCAGAAGTTACAAATTGGCCATGGAGGGCAGAAGAGGCCAAGACTTACAGTGGCCTTAAGAGACAAAGCAGATCGCACAGCCCATGGGGCAAAATCCTCCCGAGTACTCCATTGCCTGGAATCTGTAGTGTAGTGACCGATTTATCCTTTGGATTGATCAAGGAAACTGGCAGCGGGGACAGGAGTTAAGCCAGAGTGACTCAAAAGGCCGACTCAACTGTAAGCAAGGTGCTTCTGAGCTTTCCAAAATCTCCTTTCACAGTCGTAATGCAGCTTCATGGTACTTTCGGAAAACAATGGGTCAGGGTGCACAGTATTTCAGGAGAAACAGTCAGCTATCGCTCAAGATTGCCATCTTGCAGAATAATGGCAGCGTTCATAAACCACTGCCCACAATGCCTTTTCCTCTGAGCACTGCTTCAGAAGTAGCCCAACGGGAACAGGGCAAGATGCTAATCATGTCTCTAAATGCTGGCCAGCCAGTCCAAAAACTTGATGAACAGTCTGGCAACCTTAACAGCACTTACTGGGACGTACATGTCATTCATGCAGTAGAATTTCCTGGAAAATTGGGATTAGCACTGCAGGCATAGGTGGAGTCCCAAAAGTCGGTTTCCTGGCAGGCAATATACACTCACAAATACAAAATGGAAGCCAGGAGAATGGATGCGCACGCGAAGCTGCCGCTTTGCAAAAGCTATTCTGCCTGTGCCACTTTGGAATCCACGATCTGGTCTACCAACGTGCTGAGCCAGATCCCAGAGTTACACCCAGCACTCAACGCTGCGCAGATGAAGGATCTTGGCCCACTTTCAGAAGAAACAGTTATATCTTCTGAGCAAAGATTCTTCCTCTTTTACGGAGCCAATCAGTCGTGCTGGGCTGGATTCCCGCTGCAATGGGCAATTCTTTCTTGTTTCCCATCTGGGCCATGTTTAAACCTTTTTAACTCACCATTTTGTTCTGGTTTTGCACTCACCTGCAGACTTAAACTGAGGAGGAACTTTCTAAAAACGGCATTTCACTGTATGTTCTGAAATGCTTAAACTGCCAAGAAACATTCGGAGAATTGCAAAGATCTGGCAGATCACCGAGTTCCAAAGTGCACAATAGTCCGACCGGTGTTGCTCTGGTCACTTTGCGTAGGAACGCACCAAGCATTCATTCCTCAAGCATTTTGAGGTTCACATCACTTTATGTTGGCTCCGGAAGGTGGTGGGTCTGTCTTTACAACCGCAGTGAACACGCACAGCGCTGATCTGTAACACTGCATCTCAAACGCACAGCTCTGCAGGCAGAAGTTCTCCAGGTCAATCCTCTGCCTTTCCAGGGAGGGGTGGAACCCCGAAGGACAGACATTTCTGAACTGGGAGGACCCGAGGCAGCTTCCTGCAATGTGTATAATTTTACAAACACCTTGAGCCAGACAGTTTCACTCTGTTGCAGTCAGACTGTTTCTCTCCTCTGTTTCAGTGACTCACCCTCAAGCTGGTCATATTATTGGTGATAATCAGAGAGCTGAGTTTTCTGCGTACAGTGAAGTCCAAAACATCTCGAAGTGAAGTCCAAACAGCTTCTCTTGTAAGGCAGGACCGTTTTTTGCTGCAAATGATGCTCCTTCCTTATATGAGCATACATAACCATCAGATCGTTTAGTCCAGTTTTCCCAGTGGAAAAATCCGTGGCTAATCACAGTTCTTCTGCACGCATGTCTGCATCCTACACACATATATTAAGAGGGGGTTTCCCATGAATGTAAGAAAAGCTTAACAAGTAAAGCAGCCCCTGAGCAACAAAAAAGGGCCCAGCAACAACGGCGTTTCCTTTGCATGAAGTGCCCTCCCCATCACATGCATACATACAAACATACATGCATAGATAATTAGACCTGGCTACACTGCATCAGCCGCAACCAACGAGCCAAGAATGTTCAGAATAAGGAAAAAACAAATTCACTAAGGCTTTCCATAAAAAGTCAATTCTTGCTGAGTCTTTTTTCTGCCTTATACAAGAGCTTAGTGCGGGAATTGGATAGGCGATCACCCAGTTTCATGACTAATTCTGTTTGCTGAGTGAGATGTATTTATATAGCCTGTAAAACACTTCAAAACATTTTTACTGGAGGAAATGCCCATGAACGGCAAACTTCTCCACTGTGCTTTTCTTTGGAATTACCTTTTGTCTCTGAATTAGACTAAGGCCAGACCACAAGTCTGGCCAGGCACAACTCGGCACAAGCCTCCATTTCTGCTGATGTGGCTCCCGGCGTCGGCACCAAGTGAGAAAGCCAAGAGGGCTCCAAAGCTCACAAACGGGTTTAAGCTGGCTTAAGATGGCCTTTCCTGGCTTAACACTGAGGGTGTATAGCGCCGGCCTTGCCAAACACTCACTGGCCGGCCAAAGGAACACACACAGCGACCATAGCTGCGATTTTTACTTTTATTTCATAGGGCATAGCAGGGTGCAGCGTTATTGCTCCGTGGCACAAAAATAGGCGTAATCACTGGGGTGCACGGACGGCTGTGAACAGCGCTGGCGGCGGGGGAAGACCTCACGCTCCAAGCTCCACCAGCTTCTCCTATCCCATCGGATAGTAACCCTTTACGGAAAGATGACCCCTCTATCGGAAACGATTTACACTCTGGCTTGCAGGTGGGAACCCCTCTTGCCATCCAGCAGTAACAACACCTACGTGCGATGTTGACTGACTTCTGAATTTTCCCCGTGGACCAACATGATTGTCTGCTGTGCTCCTCCGCAATCAACCGGGGCATCTGGTAATTATTAGCAGTAACCTTAAGAATGTTTGTGCACGGAGAAACTCAACCCGTGTAACCCTCCAATATGTGCCTGTTCGCCAGGAGATAATACAGTACTTGGCCTGGCTCATCTTTAGGGAAGTGAGCACAGAACTGCACTTAAGATGCAGAAGTAAGTGCCACTAAATGCAGAGAAAGTCTGTCTGGAGGAAAAGGAAGGAAGTGGAGCAGCTTCAGGCAGCCTGCAAAACGCCAGGGCTCTCAGCCCCTCTGTCTGCATGTGAACGTGGGCAAGGCCATTCATGCCTTCCCTGGAAGCGGGGGGGGGGGGTAAGGAAGAGGAGGAGAGAGGAAAAGGGCGGACAGAAAGAAAAGGAGCGGACCGACTCCAGGCACTAGCTGCAGCCGCGCTCTGTGCCGATGCATCCTTTGACAGATGGCCCGATGAGGGAATGCAGCTTTTAAGAGAAAAAGGGTTGCACAGGCAAAGAATGTCTGGGAAGAAGGTTCGCTGCACGAGGGCAATGCTCAGGGCTATTTATTTATTTATTTTTTATTGAAACATTTCTATGCCGCCCCTTTCGCCGAAGCCTCGGGACGGCTCGCAACATTAAGTTAAAATACAAACATTAAGTTAAAACATTAACTTAACATAATATTAAGTTAAAATGTTTGTAAAATACAAACATTAAGTTAAAATACAAAAATAACAGAAAGCCTCAGCATCTCTGGGTCGGAGAAACAAATCCCTCAAACTTTGGAAGGCCTCTGCCAGCCAGTGTAGGAAATGCGGAGCTCAAAGGACCAAGGGTCTAATTTGGGATAAGACATCTCCCAATAATTATTTCAGTTATCCATATTTTGACTTAACTATACCAGAGCAAGACAATTCTATTTTATTCATTTCATCCTGAATACACTTAATAAGCCCTCCTGAATTCAGTGGAGTTTAATTCCAAGCGGACACGCGTACCATTCCCCGCTGCATGCTTACACCTCTGGAAACATCACCAAACCACGAAGCAGCAAACCAGAACGACCTGGTTCGGAGTCCGGCAAAAAAGACCTCCTCTTTCCATATTCTTTCTCTCTCTCTCCGCCTCCGTGTGTGTTACTGTGAGATTCTGGAGAACCGGAGCCAAACACTTTCCTCGTACTTCTGCTCCAATCATTACAAAGCCGCACTCACACCAATGGCATTTCCTACGCTCTGCCCACCCGCGCTTTTGTGTACATGAACGCTATAGTTACGGCAAACACACGCTTCTGCCCAGGCGCAACGTATAGCTTCCAACCGGAGGTGACCACACGTCTGCCGCGGAGCGCCTTCTCGCCCCGCGCGGCAGCGCTCACATGCCCGCGCACGCACGCCGCAGGCTTGCCTCGGGCCATCCATACATGGCCTGAAGAGCCTCAAGGTCGCTAAATTTTCATAACCGGCCAACAAGAAACAGATGATCTTGTGGGAATACGGAAGAAAGAAAAACCTAGTCGACAGGGGAGCGGGGAGGGGAAGAGAGTCACAGGAGAAAAACACAGAGTACTTTGTCAGAAGCAGATGAAAACCAGACTTCCTCAGGGGTGGGATCGTGTTCTCTGCTGAGAAAGAGGAGAGAATCCCACGTTTGGTTATTCCTTCTGCTCTCTGGGCCAGCAGATGCAGGGAATCGCGAAGCCACCCAAAATCTGCAAGCGGGGCAAGGCTGTGTAGTTAAACGCTGCTGCGGAGCTACCTCACGGTTCCAGGACCCCCAGGGCTGCAGAGAAACGGGTCGCTGCAAGCATGCACAGAGTTGTGAAAGCAGATTCTTCTTAACTATGTTAGACGTTTCCGGGGTGGGCGGGGTGAGGCCTTTGCATGTGCCCCCAGAGCAGAGGAAAGGGCCGGAGAAGCATGAACGTCTGATTAGCCTTACCGGATCGATTTTACACTGGAGTGAAACTGTGCAAAGCCAGGTTCGAGTCCCCACTCAGCCAGGAAGTCCCTGGATGACTTTGGGACAGGCACGAATTCTCAGCCCAACCTACCTCACAGGGTTGTTGTGAGGACATAAGGGAGAGAGGAGGGCTGCGCGCGCCTCCTCGGCTTCCTCGCAGGAAGAAAGGTGGGGCAGAAACGTCTTCAGTCGGTGCGCTTTTCCAGGTTGGCTTTGTAAACAGGAGAGCAGTTTGACTTTGGACGGCATCCAAGAGTCCCCAGCGAGGATCGCGCCGCGAGGAGCGCTTTGGCAGCCTTCCAAAGCCCAAACCGTCACCAAGAGGCCGAAACGACGCCTTTTCTTTCTCTTCCTCTTCCTCTTCCCCGGCTCTGTTTACACCAGCGGAGGCTCTCCCGGCCGGCCGGCCACCAACCCGAGCAACCCCTCCGCCGCCGAGGCGCAGGCGCCCGGTGCCCCCCTCGCAGTGCTGTGCGTTGCGGGGCGCAGCCGGGGGCGGGGGGCGAGGGACCCCCGCCACCCCGCCGAGCCCGGCCCTGCGCGCGGCTTGCTCGGAGCCAAGTCCCGCCGAGCCCCGATCCGGCCCTTCTCTGCGCATCTACTCGGGAGTAAGTCCCGCGGAGGCGCACGAGGCCAACTCCGCGGGTAAGGCTGCTGGGCGAGGAGGGCAGCCTGACTTGGGAAGCCAGCCTCCGCGGAAGGCGCGCGGGGTTTACTTCCGAGTAGACATGCGCGGTGGGGCTCGGAGGCCGCGCAGTCACGCAGCTCAAAGCGAGGAAGCCGTCCAGGCCGCCCAAGGCCGCGACTCCGCAGCCTCCCGCGCAGGCTCGGAGGCGCAGGATCGAGGCCCCTGCAACGGGGAAGAGGCGCCGCGCTTACCTGGAGCTGCCGGCGCTCGGCTCCGTCGCTCCCCGCAGGCAAGCCCGCCCGCCGCAAGCGCATCTTACTCCCCGGGGTGGCTGGGGAAGCGCTCCGAGCCGCTCGGGACAGGCCGCGCCGGCGCACGTCCCGGGGCCGGCGGCCGAGCGGCCAGCACGGCGGCGCTCCGCACCTCGTCCCGCCGTCGGATCGGGGCCGGGCGAGCGGGCGCCGGGCGTCGAGGCAGGAGGCCGGCCCAGAGCTGCAGGGACGCGAGAGGGGCGACTCCGGCGCGGCGCCGAGGGTCCTCGCTGCCTTCAACTCGGAGCAAGCACTAATCCGGATTCGCTTCCCTTCCTTCTCGTCTTGCTCTTCCAAAAAATACCCCTCCAGCCGCGCAACGAAACGGGTGACCGAGCCGGGACGGGGGGGGGGGGCGAAGCGGCGAGAGCGGCGCCCCCCTTCCCGCGGCAACTCCGCCGTCAGACAGCCGGGCACGTGAGCTTGATCCGGAGCCGCTGCGCCCGCTCCGCTCCGCTCTCTGGAGCCAGCCTGGCTTCTCGCACCGACGCGGCCGCGCGCGCTCGGCTCCGGCCCCGCCTCCCGCGTTGCGAGAGGAGGAAACCGGCGCGAGGAGGAGGAGGAGGAGGAGGAGGGACGGGGGCGGGGGGCGCCCGCGGAGGATGTGGCCGCCCGAGGGAGACGGGCCGGCGGAGCCAAGCGGGGCGCGCCAGGCGCGGGAAGGTCCGCCCGGCCGGCGCACGTGCGGCGGAATCCTGGGGTGGCCCTCCTCCTCCTCCTCCTCCTCCTCCTCCTCGCCACGACCCAGCTGCCGCGCTCGCCTTCATTCCCTCCCGGCGAGGAGCCGAAGGCGAGCGCGCGAGTTGTGGCTTCCTCCCCCGAGACGGCCGTCCGAGGCGGCTAGTCCTCATGACGCCGCGCTGCCTCTGGTCTCAGGGGCTATATACCGGTCGCTGGGGCGCACGGGCGGGAGGGCAGCTGGTCGCGCCGCTGTGTGAACTGAATGCCGCACCGGCGCCCGCTTGGTCTGATCCCGCGCCGTTCTTCCGACGTGCTCAGGGCTCGTGCGCACAGAGCGCCCTGGCGCTCACCGTCACGTCTCCGGGAACAGAGGTGGCGAGGCCGGGTGCTGGGGAGCATGGGCCAGAGAGTCTCGCATGTCTCGCCTGTGGGGTGCCAGCTGGCCACTGGGAGAAATGCAAGCCGGACTGGGTGGCCTCTGGGCCCGATCCAGCGTGGCACTCGCCGTGTTCGCTCGGTTATCCTTAGAGCCGCGTGTGGAAGGTGCTGTTTGACTCAGGGCAGCGACGCCAGCGCGCAAAGGCGGGCAGGTCCGTCATAAAACCCACGTGCTTCGCTCTCCGAGGCTTCCCTTCCACAGCCCCAGCCAAATCACGCCCACCCCCCAGTCTATCCGAAGTGGCATGGGGGAGGGGTGCCGCGCAGGTAATTAAGCAAATCACATGGCCTGCGGCTGGCCCACGGGGTGGGCAAGGAGCGCCTTTTCCCACGGTCCTGCAAGCCAATCCATCTGCTTTACCGAGGACCAACTCCTACTGAACTGGTTTGTTGACTCTGAGATAAAACTTCTCTTCCTGCCGGGAAATAAACTCCTGGAAGATGGTCTGGTGGTCGTAAGCCCCTTGGGACACGTTCTGTCCAACTCTTTTAGCTCCTCCTGGATTCCCGGGTCCCTTCTGCCAGGCCAGCTCCTGCAGTGCCTTCCGCCAGTTCACCTTTCTATGATGACTGGCCGATGGTCTTAGAAAATGGGCTCCTACAGAAAGGGCCTCTGAGAATTTCCCACACGATTCATGGGCAGAGAAATTGAGGTGGTGGGGGAGAATTTCACCAAATTTCTCCAGCCGGAAGGGAAATCCTTCAGTTGTTTTCTCCCAGATAGGGCTCCTGGTTGCCGGGAACTGCAGCTAATTTTCCCTTTTCTAGGGATGTCTTCTTTTTTTGGTTGGGGTGTGGGCGAGGTGAGGCAACCGAGTCAACTGGCAACAGCCACATCTGTGTGCGCAGCCTGACTCTCCTTTTGAATCTTGCAAAATGCTCCAAGCTCGCCGTTGTGCCAGCGCATTTGCAAGGGAAAGAGGGAAGGTGGCCACCATCCCATAATTCTTCCCATTAACAGAAGCATGGGAAGTCCAGGAGGCTGCAGGCGGGGAGATGCATAAATAGTGGAAGACAAGACGACTGCAGTCGGCGTATAAGTACGGTAAACAAGTACAAGAACCCTGAAGCTGACCCACAAGAATCTCTCCCACGTTTTCTTCTTCGAATTTCCTTTCGAAAGCAATTCGTTTTCTATCAGACTGAATGAAAATGCTTGGGAAAAACAGGAGATGTTTGCATCCAGTGCTAACACTATACAAATACCACTATTGTGCTGTGTCTGGGCAAACACACCTGGATGGAGAGGCAGCTACAGAAATCAACACAACTGCTTGCATATTTGGGCCTTCTGCAGCAGTTGGGTTAGAGGGGAAGCCCTACACTTCCAAATTTACCCGTGCGTTCTGAAAATGGAGAAAATGAAAGAGGCCTCTGGACTATCTTTCGTTATAGACCGTTTAAGGTCTCACTATTTTTAAAAGGGATTTCACTGAGCCCAGCAGTTCTGAAGGATTTTCAGCTTGCTCCAGAGCCAGGTGGGTCACCCCCATCCCCTCATGTCACAGCAGCTCAGCATCTGCAGAAGCAGCGGGTCGCAAACCCACTTCAAGGCAAGCTGTGCCGATCTTGCAAACCCCACCAGCAAGCCACCGTGAAGCGGATTGGTGGAAGACTGAGGACAGGGGAGAGGTTCTTTTCACACGATGCGTGGTTAAACTGTGGAATCCGTGGGCATGAGAAGTGGTGCGGGCCACCCATGGGGGTGTCTCCAAAAGAGGACTGCGCAGAAGCGTGGGGGCGAGGCCATCGGTGGCTCCTGCGGGCAGCGTCCTCTCTCTGCTATCAGTTGCTGGGGCGCGTGAGGGTTCCTGCCGGCGGTTGTCTTGCCGCCGTGTGAATGGCCTGCAGGACTGGTGGCCCCTCGTCTGATTCAAGATGGCTTTTCTTACGTTCTTGCAAATCATCGTTTGCAGCCGGACCAGGCCAGAGTTATTAGCTCCAAGAAGCGCTTCTAAATAGGACATATGGTGTTCTTACGGGGGGGTGGGGCTGAAAGTCTTCGCACTTGCACCATACAGAAAAGCGAGCAATTTCCCCTGCGGTGCCAGCACTGCCCCCAAAGACCCCGCTCTTGTGGGAAGTCGCTGCCAATTTCTAATTCTTCAGGCTTTTCCGTAGGATCAGTTTATTGTGAAATGAGTATCTCTTTGTCCTGCCCTCTTATCTGCTTAATGAAATATGTTTATCCTGTCTTTCCGAACAAAGTTGAGAGAGCCAACAACCACAAACAACAAAACTATAAAGTAGCAGTAAATTAAACAAGCCATAAGGAGCCACCAGCTGCAGCGGATTACCCAAGAGCACTCTGATGAAAAGTGGTGTGAATTCAGGGGCAGGCCGTGGATGGATCTGGGCCTCTGGGGAATTTCAGGGTTGCTTGCAGGTAAGCAAGAGTCTCTGCCTTCCCAGAAACGCAGAAATTTCCAGAAACAGGGACTACCAAAGCATTACCCCTCTCCTCATAAAGCAGGCTATTGAAGTCCACCAAGCTTGGGAGAAAGGGGAGAGTTGTGTGTGGGCTTCAAGGCTGGTACTGAAAACACACTTCTGGGTTGAGCACATGCTCAGAGGCACTCTGTCCCGGTGTTCTGCATCCTCCATCTTCAGCAACAATTTTGCATCTGCCACTCACTGGGAACCTCAGGATCCTGATGAAAGGCACAGGTCATCCTGCCAGCGCAAAGTCTTCCCATCCTGCAAACTGACCTCTTGTGGCGGAGAGTTCCACAGGCAGGGTACCACTGGGTGCTGGTCCTCATTCACCAGACACGAATCTGCATCTTTTTGTTACCCGTCAACGACTGCTTGGCTTTCCAGTAAAGGAAATCAGTGAGAACCTGCTTTTCGCTTTTCTCTCAGGTTGTTCTTTCCTCCGCTCACCTCACCAACCCCCTGACTACAAGGCTGAGTTCAGAGAATGATGCAAGAACCTTCTGGCTTTTGATGAGCTGCCAGCTCAAAGTGGAAAGTTTCGTCTAACAAGGCCCATGGGAAGAGAAAGCTTGAAAGCCTGATAAAAGGAGAGAGCGAGAAGCAGCTGTAGGAGCAAAACAGCTCTGCAAAAGACCTCCAAGCGGCTGTTCGGGACTCTGGTCCCTGGCCGTTGGGGGTCTGCGCTTCCCATCAGCCCCAGCCAGCAAGGCCAGTGGCTGGGGAGGTAGTCTGACGAGGTGGGGATCCGAGGCTGGAGGGAGGGGACCCAGGGATAACGCCGGGGGCCCTTCCCCTCTCGGAGGAGCTTATGCAGGGAGAGACGCACACCTGAGTCCAGTGAGTCCGGGTGTGTGCAACCTGCATCTCTCTCTCCAGCGGCATCAGATCTGCAGAGCCGTCTGCAAGTGATCCGTTCAGACGTCTGGCAAGAGCGACCTCTCCCCGGGGTGGCAGCCTCAGGGCTTGGCAGGTGCCAGGAGTCTGGAGAAGCCGCGCCTGATCCTGCCAGCCCTCACCCCCCTGCGGCTCCCCAGGCCAGGGTCCCTGCTGCCCTTGGCAGGCCAGGCTCTGCTGTTCGCACACACACCCATGTCTGCCCCAGGCGCTGCTCTTATTACGGGTGCAGAGCTGAATGGCAGCTCAGCGCCCAGCGGGTTTTCCCACGGTGGGATGCCCTGTGGGGCTCAGGGGGCAGTCTGGCAGCAGCCCCAGCAAAGGGGCAGGCACCAGCCACGAGCCCCTCGGCCGTACCCTAGCCAGGCCCATGGAAGGCGGCTGCCACGTCTTTCTGTCCCTGCTGAGCAGGGAGCTGCAGGAGGAAGGCAGAAAATCCAGCCACTTTTGCGTCTGGCCGCAGCCACGCATGAGGGAATGCAGCCTTCGACTGTTGGCTGGGGATGATGGGAGTGGGGCTAAGACCTCGAGCGGCCAGGGTGAGGAAGGCGATGCACAAGACAGAGAGCCAGGGCTGCTCCTCTCCCTCATT